AGAGAGAAAAGAAGGAGAACGAGAGAGAGGAGGAGCAGAGAACGAGCAGAGAAAAGAAGGAGAACAAGAGAGAGAATGAGCAGGAAAGAGGAGTGAGAACGGAGAGGGAAGAGGAGAGGAGATAGAGAATAGGAGGAAAGAGGAGAGAGAGAAGGAGAGGAAAGAAAAGTGGCTGATGGAGAAGAGGGGGTTGTTAGGGTTTCTAAAGGTTTAAGTTATTTTTTTAAATATATATATATATATATATATATATATATATATATATATATATATATATATATATATATATTCCGATGGAAATTTCCGTCGGACTATAAATCCGTCGAAAAAAGTAATTTTCGACGGAAATATCCGTCGGAAAACACATATATTCCGACGAATTTGTCTGTTTTCTAGTAGTGGTCGCCGCCCCTTCCTCCTCCATTAAAGTCGTCGCCGCCCCTTCCCCCTTCATTAAAGCTTGAAGTTGAGGTTTTTATGGTCAAATGTAACCATAAAAACTCTAGATCTAGAGTTTTCATGGTTAAATTTGACCAAAATAACCCTCAAATTAGCAATGACAAGGTAATACTTTCCAAATTTAAGCTTTTTTTCTTCATAGTTAGGGTGGCTGGTGGTGATTTCGGGGAGAAGGGAGGGAGGTGGGGGTTGTGGATTTTGGTGAGTTGGGAGACGATGGGTGTTTGGTGGTTGAATGGGTGGGAAAGGGGAGGCCTGAGGGGTGTTTATGAGGTTGCAGGTTTTGGGTTTGGTGGTAAAGCCATGTTGGTTTTGGGTGGTTGTGGGTCTGGTCGGTTTTGGGTGGTTGTGGGTCTGGTAGATCTTGGGTGGTTGCAGGTTGCTGCATTTCAGGGTTTATGGTGGCAGCAAGGTGGGTTTTTGGTGGTTAGTTTCTGGTGATGGTGTTAGTCTTGGTGTTCTGGTGGTACGGTGTTGGTGGTGAAAGAGTGGTTACGGGATGGGTGGCTATGGTGGTGAGAAAGTGGTTAAGGTATGGGTGACTAGTGGTTAATTGGTGTTGGTGGTGTTATTGATGGCGTACTAGCGGTGTTATTAGTGGCGTACTAGCGGTGTTTTGGTGGTGTTGGTGGAGAGGATGGCAGTTGGTAGTGGTGGCCCTTAAATAATTAAGTGAATTGCTAAATCGCGTCCGGTATTTACCAGGTAACGTCTGTATTTTAACACGATCTTACAAACATGCCCTCTTTTAATTTTACCCTAATTTACTATTACCCTAATTTACTTCTACCCCATATAAATTTACCCTATTTTATTTTCACCCCACCGGCCACTAAACAGCCACCACCACCAGGCGCCACCCACCATCCACCATCCACGACTTGAATTTTTTTTTTTTTTTGAGAAAAAAATTTTGTCAACAACAATTTGCACAAGCGGTGAATGGACGAGTTTACGGAATTACAGTCGCCGCCGGAGAGGTCACCTGTGCGTTAGGAATCGGTGAATTTTTAGACCTTTTTTTTATTTTCGTAATTTCCAGAGGAACGCCTGATATTTTAGAATCTACCTAGGAACATTCTAAAATTTCAGGCGTTCCTACCTATGTTCGCCTGAAATTTTAGAATGTTCCACGGTAGATTCTAAAATTTCAGGCGTTCCTCTGGCTTCATATAAGAAACGCTTAGAAATGTAGTCTCATCCATGGGACATACTAAATTATCAGACGAACAATGGTAGGAACGCCTGAAATTTTAGAATGTACCACGGAAGATTCTAAAATATTAGGCGTTTCTCCCGTGGTACATTCAAACTTTTCAGGCGTTTCCTATCTGTTTTGATTTTATTATTAATTATTATGTTATTTAAATATTATTATATCATTATTATTATATGATTTCATGGGTTCTTAAGTAGTTTGTTTTGTGGTTATAGGATTTAGAATTAGAAAATGGCGGTGATGGTGTGAATTACAGTGGCCATTTTCAAACCGACACTGTGTTTCCTACTTTTGATGCTGCTGTTAAATGGGCGAAAGATATTTCGCGAATAATCGGATTTTTATTCGTCTCATCGTCGTACAAAAAAACCACCGATGGTCGGCCGTATCGATATTTGGCTTGCGATAGCAGTCGAAAGAAAAGGCCAAGAGATTTGGAGAATGTGATTCGCAAGGAGACAAAAACTAAGTCCGTTGGGTGTCGTTTCTACATCAAGATTTATTATGAGAGAAGCACCGATGGTTGGAGGATCCGTGCTAAAAATAATGTAACCGACACCCATAATCATCCATTCATTGTGTATCCTGAAGGTCATCGACAAAACAGCGGTCTTAGTGCAGGTGCAAAACAGGTTGTGCGTAACTTAACGAGGTCAAAGGTTGCGCCTCGTAATATCATGGAAACCATTATTGAGCAATTTCCTGAAGATCATCCAAACATCAGGCATATCTACAATTGTAGAAGTGACATTAGAATAGAGGAGTCTGAAGGAAGAGGAGTGGTTCAACAATTTCTGCATTTGGCTAGAGAGAGTCGCTACATTTACTGGGTTATGGTTGATGACATCGGCGTTTTACAGCATGCATTCATGGTGCATCCGATCACGTGCAACTTGTTACGCACATATTCGTACGTGATTGGTATGGACTCTACATACAAGACAAACAGATACGGCATGCCATTCTTTGAGATAGTTGGGGTTACACCGACGAATCAAAATTTTCTTATTGGATATGTCTTCATGAGAAACGAGACACAGGATAGTTATCGATGGGTGCTTCAGAGATTGAGGGATTTGATTGGATACCAACGGGAGCCATCAGTGTTCTTAACTGACCGTGAGCTTGGAATTTGTGCAGCATTGAAAGCTGAGATTCCCCACACTACGCATTTACTTTGTAGGTGGCACATTAATAAGGACGTTGAAGCTTATGTGACCGGATTGTTCAAGGACAAGACGGTGGGTGCAAAGTTCAAAAATGGTAGATGGAATCGAGTCATGAATGCTACATCTGATGCGGAATATGAGTTAGCCTTGCAGAGATTGAAAACAAGTTGGGCTCGATATCTGAAAGTTGTGGAATACGTTGAGACTACCTGGCTCCTTCATAAAGAGAAATTTGTGACGTGTTGGTTGAACAGAGTTCTGTACTTTGGTAATGTTTGTACATGTAGGGTTGAGAGTCAGCACTCGGCAGTCAAGAGTTGGATGGAATCATCAACTGGTTCTTTGGATACGGAATGGGCTCGAGTACATTGCCAGATTGGAAATCAGATTGTTGGAATACGTAACGCTTTAGAGGCTAGTAGATCTAAAGTAGGTGAGAAGTACAGGCACATGCCGTTGCAGCGGCTGAATCAAAAGGTTTCTCATCATTGTTTGTCTGTGCTTTACGATGAGATAGAAAGAATGAGAGGGTTAAGTTATGAGGTGCATGAGCGTTGCGGTTGTGCTCTACGGATCACCCATGGGATACCATGTGCTTGCCAGATTCATGATTCAACGTGTGATAAGAAGGGGTTGTATTGAAGCCAAATTCATCCATTTTGGTAGAGCCTTGTCATTGGTGATGGTGTTGATATTCCGAAATTCGTCGACAAGTCGGCAGAAGAAGCAGCACATTTTCGTTCACTTGTCGACGATGTTTTGGCTAGTGACCCTGTTACAGTTCGAAATGTTTCTTGCATCATTGAAGATGAAATGCATCCGAATCATTCATATCTTGAAGAGCCAGAAGTGAATCACTCAACACGGGGTCGTCCACGGGATCATTCAACCAGGCGTAACCGTAGCCATTTTGAGAATGTTGAGCGTAACAGTAGCGGTCGTAGAGGGAGAAGGCCGGGCCAACATAATTCAAGGAAAAACCGTCAAACTGAATCCGGTATATATATATATATTTTTTTGATATATATTTTTCTACCAATTATGAATTTTATGTTAATTTATTTTCTACCCATAACGAATGTGTATTTTTTTCAGGAGGAAATGTATTCAACATCGAACAATGTAGGTACGCTCACTTGCTTCCCGGACCTATATTGCCTTACATAACCGGGTGGAATGATGTCATTGGTGATGGTAATTGCGGCTTTCGTTGTGTTGCCGCCTTCTTCATGGGTGATCAAGAGCAATGGAGGTTAGATCGACAATTCATGGCTAATGAGATTACTGGTTATCCGCACTTATACAGGAGGATTTATTACGAGGCAGGTGGTTTGGATTTTGAGATACAACGTATTCGTTGGAGCGGTGGCCCATGTGGGGAAAGACATTGGATGGTAGCCTTTCAGGATTTGTACGTAATTGCTACCTTATACAATGCAACCGTGATTTGTTATGGTATTGGACAGACACAAACGAGCTATTATCCGTGCATCACTGTGTTACCGTTGCGGGCCCTCGACAATGCTACTGCACCAACTCGAGAGTTTGTTATAGCAACTGTTGGTGGGTCTCATTTTATACTTTTGCAGCTTGACCAAAACCATCCGATTCCCCCGATTGCAAATGTTTGGTACCGGGTTCGTGAACCTAGAGTTATTGGATGGGAGCAACGATACCAACATAGAATTAGTTTGTGGGAAAGATTAGTCGCAACTTGATAGATGTAATGCGTTGATTTTTTTGTCTGCACTTTGATTTTTTTTTATTTTTTTTTTTTGCACTTTGATTTTTTTTTGTTTTAGTTATTTATTTATTATTATTATTATCATTTATTATTATTATTATTATTATTATTATTATTATTATTATTATTATTATAAGTTAGCATGCCAAAAATAATTATAAAAAAAACACTAACAAGTAAAGTGCTAATGTCCGTACAAATATTAAAAGTGTCCGATTACAATCATAAAAACAAAATAATAAAAGTGTCCAACTAACAATTAAACTGTTCAACTAAGAATAACATTGTCTAGCGTAACTCAAATCATAACCCACGCATAACATCCCAATCACGAAGGGTCTGTGTAGCCATGGCCTTAGTCTCACGGGACATGGGCCCATGCGACTAAGCTAGTGCACGTTGTGTGAAATCAACGAAGCGTCCAACCCACTGTAAACAATATAAAATGTTTAAAAAATCAATACAAATAATGAAATACTAGATAATAAATACAAGGCTAAAGGAAAATGTACTTACATAATCAGTATTGGTCCTCTCAGGAAGACCGCGACCCTGAGGTACGTCAAGGGGTGACACACGAGGGTGAGAGTATTGACAGGGTAAAGTCGTATCCCCTAATCAAAAGTAAATACCTAAGTCCTCTAACTAAAGTAGATAGAGAAGTAGGGTCGATCTCCACAGGGAAACAAGTCTTTTTACTCCTAATTAATTATTATAATCTAAATTATCTAAGTAACCAATATTTATATTTGAGTATGAAACTAAACTACAAAGAATAGGAGTAGGGAGAAAACAATATATAAAAGGATCTAGGGCATAGGTTCACCAATAAATAATACTCCAGGGTAAAACATAGTAATCAATCATTGACATTGCATAAATAACACGATTAACAGGCTCTCGCAATTTATTAATCAACATAGATCTAACAGGCTCTCGCAATTACTAGATCTAAGTTCTTATTGAAAATAGCCTTTAATATCAAATTAACATCTGCTCGATTCATCAATTTAATATTGCTATACTTTTACAAGCCGCAATTGTAAAACATTAAAACAATTCAATAAGAAATTATCATGCAATACCAATAATCAATAATAGTCAATCATCAATGCATCAATTAACCAGATTGTAAAGGGCTTTCGCTACGTATTACAATCACACAATTAATTTACCAATATTAAATCTCATCTCTCGAATCTCGACTTAACCATTTATAAATTAATCTGCCTAATGAAACTAGACCTAAACATTAATTCTCATCTCTCGAATCTTGAATCAATATTGTCAAACTCATGCATAAAAGATAGGCCTAATCTAGTCACATAACATTAAATCAATCAATAGGAAATTAATCTAGCATTGATAATTAACAACAACAATTTATCCCTTCATATTATTTATGGATCCCCACAAACCCTAGAAATTAAACTACTCACACATAATAGAAACTAAACTAATCAAGGTAATAAAATAAATCATGATGAAAGGAATAAAACAAACAACTAAGATTAAGGGAAGAGAAATCGTTACCAAAATAAATCTGGAATTAATGGAAGAATTAAGAACAAAAGTTGAGAGAAAGGATTCTAAGAGAAATTAAGAGAGTAAAGAAAGATTAAAGAGGGGAAGAAGATATCCTAAAATCGTATCACGGAGAAATATTTATACTCCGTACAAAATCCTAAACTAAAACAAATTAAAACGACATTAAACGTCCACTAATAAAAACATGCGCCCGATCGGGCGAGGCACCACCCGATCGGGCGCGCCTTTTTGCTCATAATACAAATCTCGCGCCCGGCCGGGCGCCAGCCAAAGCTTCTCCCACCCGGCCGGGCGCGCCTCCGGGCGCCAGCCTTTTTAGCCGGGCGGCTCATTTGGGCCAATATTTGGACTTCGATTGGGCTCCAATTCTTCGGGCCAACCTGGGTTTCCTCTTCTGGTCTTGAATACTCGGTCCAAATGCCCCGGTATCACCTATACCGAGCCCTTAATCACCGGTTCGATGGCTCTAACTGGCCCTGGGCTATAGAATCTGGTCGTGCTCCTCCAATGCTCATGATTGCTCCAAAATATCTCGGGAAAATACTCCAAAAGCATAAATCCCTGCGAAAGTCAACCAAATCTACGAAAACACTAGAAAACACCAATTAGTAATAAAAATGGCTCTAAAGAGCCAAAAACACTACTAATTATGACCAAGGGACGGGGGTAAAATACTATATAAAATAGACATATCAAGTATCTGACCAACCATGGAATGTAATCGTCCGTGCATGTAGGACTGCCGCGACTGAGTCTAGTGTAGCGAGCCACTGGTAGACAATACGCAGCAAATGGAATAAAGCTCTCCCACATGTGTATGGACGTCTCAGCCGGGAACTCAACACTATACATCTTAACCTTCTTCGGTCTCTTGGCCTTCTCGGGCCTAATGGGGTACCTAGGTATACCTTGTACTAACCCAAGCTGTTTGACAACTCGATCAGGCATATACGGCTCAATGATTTTGCGATACCGTAAAAATCCCGAGAACAACGTCGTTGGAACAACACTGGCAGGGTCAGGTCCGTAAGGCATCCAGTTTACCTGCATAATCAAACAATAAATTAGTCACATAAGAGTAATGCGATACAAATCACAACTAAATAATAAATTTCATATTTACCTCAATGTCAGTCAACACGTCAAGTCGAGCACGAAAAGCGTAAAGCCGATCTGGGCTCTTCGGTGGCGAACCAACATCCCATAACAATGCACGTGGACGTCCAGGCTCCCTAGTCAGAGTGCCCTGCTGAGGGAGAAAGCATGGAAAATACTCATAAATCCACGCTTGAAGAAGCGTGAGACAACCAGAGATGAAATCACAATCTCCCCGTGAGGACTGCCCCAACTGACGGTACAAATACGCTAAAGTAGCAGAGCCCCATGAGTAGGAACTAGTGATAAATGTACCCTCGACAGGCTGAAGCTCATGGATGATGGAGGGATGAAGTTTATTACCACTCTTGTCCACAAAGAGTGATGAACCTAGTAAAATCCACAAAAAGGACACCACGTAGATCTCAAGGGGCCTCTCAACATTGAAGCTCGTCTCGAGGACCTTCGAAGAAAGCGCGCCACTAGGCGCGTAAGTGGGTTTACGTAGCTCCTTGACAGGCAAATCCATCATGAACGAACAATACTGTCGTAACTGTAGGGGGTCCATAACAGTAGAAACCATAGTACCATCTACAGAGATCCCAAGGATATGATACACGTCATGTAACATGATAGTCATCTCACCGAACGGCAAATGAAAGTTGTTAGTGTCTGGCTGCCATCTCTCCACGAATGCTGAAATCAAGGGCCAGTCGAGGTGCTGATACATAATACCAGGAAGATGTGATAGCCCGCTCTGATCTATCGGGGCTAATGTCTCTGGTAATAACGACTGTCGCAGCTGATCTAGTGCAGTGCACATCTTTCTCCTACTCATACATCTCAAAACACCTCGCTCCACACCACCCCAAATTGAAGCTGCAACATGACCACCATAGCTAGGAATAACACTACCATCCTCTGGACCACCGGCCATCGGCGTACTCACTAACCAGCTGTCCTGTATCAGAGTCGGACTATGACTAGTCTCCTGAGTACTTACAAATCTTCCATCAGCACCCCTATTCGTATGAATAATGTCATCAGCCTCCTCCTCATCGTCATCGTCATCGCCCGATAAACCCTGTTCTCCTATGTAAGAGTACTTGGGACCCAGTGACTCACCCTCCTCCTGGTCAGACTCGAAACCCGACCCATCCCTCTGAGACCTTGAATGATGACTCTGTGTTGCGGAGGTCGAACTCGCCATATTAGCATTAGGGACTAGTCCCGTCTCGGTACGAGGCTGAAAACGATATCGGTCTCTCTCCCTCCTAATTGACGCGTTCAAGCGTTGTGATACAGCGTGTCGTGTTCCCGAACCCTCAGTCTTAATTTTTTGCAAAAGGAAATTAAAATAAGTCTAATTTTAGTTCATAATAATAATAATTATACTTATAATAATAATTAGAATAATAATAATAAAAATAATAATAATATATAACATCAAAACAATAATAATAATAACAACAATAACACTTGTGGCAACATTTTATTGCATCCATTCCAATTTTATTGCATCCATTCCTCCCTCTTTCAAAATTGAATCAACTGCCTGTTTTAATTTTACAATGCCATATCATGAACCATCACACTAATACATTCACAAACCCCTCCGCCCTATCTGAAATTCCATCTATTCTATTTCTACTCGACATTTTTACAGTGCTGTTGACTAAAATAATTACTTCCTGCATCCCACATTATTTTGCACCTTTGTCTTTGGCATAAGATGATGAATTGGGGTTGGAATATTAGTAGAGAAGCAAGAGACTATTACTTGAAAAGTCGAGTGTGCAATTATTTTGGGACTCCAAAAAAATGCAAGTTTACAAAACAATATGGGACTAAGGCAAAAGTATCATGAATCAGGTAATTTGCCTCTAAAAACAGAGCTTTGCTATATTGGTATCAACTACTTTCAGTAAAGAATCAGGACTATAACTTGACCCTCAGCTATTGAGGCATGTCACATTTAACAATGCATATTTCTAATTATACATTTTTTTGTATAAACTGAAGTTGTTCTAAATTCTAATAGCTCATTTTGACCATCAGTAAAACTATAATTGCTCTTTTTTTTTTACAGCAACAGCAATATAATAACAATAACAGCAACATCAATATATCGAGTGATACAGCAACAACATATATCGAGTGATACAGCAACAACAACAACAAAAACAACCACATATGAAAAATAGTTTTAAAAAATAAATAAATAAAACGCCCAGAGATTTAGAATCTCTAGGCTACGAACGCCTGGAATTTTAGGATCTCCAGCCGTATGTTCGAAAATTCCAGGCGTTCGTGTTTCGTCTGGGATTTTCGAACTTACGGCCGGAGTTCCAGAATTTCCGGGCGTTTCTAGCCTAGAGAATCTAGATCTCCAGGCGTTCCTTGGAGTCGACAGAAAATAAAAAAAATAAAAAAAAAAAAACGAAACCACTAACCTGTTCGCCGGAGACGATCCCTTTTCCTTTCTGATTTCCGGCCATCTGCGTACCCTTGAACCGTCAACGCTGAAGTTTCTTACAAAAAAAAAAAAAAACTTGGTGGCTGATTATGGTGGTAACCAGTGGTGGTGGTTGATATGGGGTTGAATTTTGGGTGAAAGAAAAAGGGTAGGTGAAAAGGGTGAAGAGAGAGAAAGGTAAAAGTTAAAACAAAAGGTTTTGATGGGTTATTTAAGGGAGGGTATATTAGTATGTATTTTTAAAAATACGGGCGTTACCCGGTAAATACCGGACGTGATTTAGTACCCCCCAATTAATTATCCCCCTTTCTCTCTCTTATCCTTAATTACACACCCTTCACATTGTTAATCATCATTATCAAATTTTTTCTTGGGAAACGTGCAACAAGATTTGTTGCATATAATACATAACGGAGGAAGTACAATGAAAAATGTAAATTTCAACAACTATTCAAGTGAATATGTGCTTTTGCTATACTATAACAAGTTTTTTTTTTTTTTTTTTTTTTTTTTTGGTTGTTGTTGTTGTCGTTGTTGTTTCAATAAACAAACAATAACTTCTTTTGTTTATAACAAACAAAAAAATTGAATAAGGGGAGAAAATGCCAATAAAAAAAAACAACGGAGTATTATTACAAAGAAAGAATGAATACCAAAATCCCCAAAATACCCATCAACTCTAAACGAACTTTACCGTTCCTTTTAGCATTTGACTTGAGTTTAACTTCCTTATTGATCAAACTACCTTGATCGTTGACTTTAAAGTCAGCCCCTACCACCATACGGTGTCGTTTCCCCTTCCACAACGGTTTCCTATACCTCACGGCCGTTGACAACTCCACCCGAAAAATCACCGGAGACGCGGTACCATTTTCCAATTTTACCCCTCTAGCATCGAAACTCCCGGCACGGTGTGTGCTTCTATACCGACGTATGTAGAATGGGCTAAAAGTAGCATCACCAATTTTAATAGGGAAGCTATTAACGTCTTGTTTGTAATAAAACGTTACATTGAGGGCATCGTAGTAAATTCCCAAATTGTCGTTAGGATGACGATTATTTTTTATCCTTAGATCATAATGAACTGTGTAATTCTTGAGGGAGTTTGTAGTTTCTTGGCGGGAAAAAACGGAAAATTGATCAACGTAGAAACTCGGGTAACGATGCTTAACAAGAAGCCAGATTAACACACCGGCTATGGCTAGTACGATTATACAGCCGATGCCGCCACAAATCCGTGATCCAGCCTTACCCATGGCCGTTACTTGTCTTGCTAGATAATAGTTGCCAAGATTAATTAATAAATCTTGTTTAGAAGAAATATAATGCAATGTTTATTTGCAAGGAAATTTATGTGGAAATGAATGTATTTAGTCAAGGTGCTTTGTTATCCAAGATTTATACTAGATTGTAGGTGATGTCATCCTCTTAACAACTTATCAAGGACAAATTAAAACAAATTATAATAGAAAACAAAATAATTAGTAGGTGTTACCAACTGTCTTATACATTGATTAGGATATAAAAAAGACTTTTTAAGACCAAACTAAAAAAATACTATGTTTGAAAATGGAGATTGTTAAATACCGCCCTCAAATATTTAGGTAATGCCCACAAAATAAAATGTATTTTACAAATTTACCCTCATATGTAACAAAAAAATTACCCACTAAAAACCTTCATCCTTGTTCCCTATTCTTTGTTAAAAACTTTATCTCTCGAAACCACCACCACCACCTCTTCCTCCTCCTCTTACCACCCACCACTACCTCCTTTCACCACCAAACTACTCTTTATTACCAATTTCCGCGGAAACAACGAGGAAGGACAAGGGGAAGGTGGTCGCCAGAGAAGAAGGTTTTTTGTTTTTAATTTTTTTTTATTTTCTGAAAACGGGCTAAAACGCCCAACTTTTTCGAGGAACTTAGGTTGTAACGCCTACATCTTTCAAATAACCGCCTGGTTGTTCGAAATTTCTGGGCGTTTCATCTCAACTGCCCAGAAATTTCGAACAACCAAGTGGTTATTCAAAAGATTTAAGTGTTTCCGCTTAGGTTACTCAAAAAATTTGGGCGTTTTTTCTTCTTTTTTTCAAATTTGTTTTTATATTGTTGTTGTTGTTTAATGTTATTGTTATTATTCTACTTTCACTTTCAAAGGTGAGCAAGATTAGAAAAGAAGAATTATGCATTTTGATGGCTGTGGCTTGGTCAATTTGGTTTTGCAGGCACAAGAGTATTTTTGAAGGAAGAGCTTAGGTGTGCGTGGTCTGCCCCCTAATATTACCATAAAAATTAATTATGATGCTCATGTATGCTCTGATTCTGCTGGAGGTATTAGTGCAGTAGTAGGGGATAGCAATGGGCAATTAGAGTTTCTTAAAAATAAAATCAGTAAATAAGAAGAAACTAAAAGATTAGGGTCAAGTGGTCAAAAGAAGTTTCCACTTGCAGTTTTGAGATTAATTATGGCTAAATTTAATTCCATTTGAGGATCATGAAGATGGAGGAATGGTTAGTCCCTCCACATCCTCCCCAAGAGTGGGTGGGTTTGATATGATTCCTCATCTCACCTCTTGTGATAGGAGGTGTCCTCCCCCCCCCCCCCCCTATCTTACAATTCTTACTTGGTACAAAAAATATAAATAATATTCCCCCGGAAAAAAATATAAATAATAATTCCATTATTATAGATTGTGCAATCAAGAGCTCATATTACTATTTAAGATTGTAACACACAGTTACACATGTGAGTCAGGATTAATTATTTGATTTCACATTACCAGAAAAAATTAGAAAAAATAATCCCAACTTTCATCAATTTTCGTAGAATAATCCCAACTTTGAATTATACTGGAATAATCCGAATTTTGGGGGTACTTCTTTTTCTTCAATCCCAAATACTGGTTACCGGTTTAATGGTTTTTTTTTTTAATAAAAATGACACGTGTCGTACAGCAATTGGATAAAAAAAATTAAAAAAAAACAAAAAAAAAATACCCAGCCTGCGAAAACCCCAACAACCCTGAGAACAACTCTGGCAACCCGCCACCACCATAGCCCAGCCACCCAGTTGCCGAACCTTCGTCCTTCCCCCACCACTAGACTCGCCGCTCCGGCGTTCCCCTTAGCCACAGTCCCCTCCCCGAATCCCCACGCAACCACCTATAAAAACCCTTGAAAACTTCCATCCAATTCGCTTTAAGGGTGTTTCGACGGTGTTTCGAATGGTTGGAGAGGGTTTTCGACGGTGAGGAGGTGGTTGTTGGGGGTTTTCGGGAGTGGGGGAGGGGTTTTGAGGGTGTTTCGAATGGATGGAGGGGGTTTAAAGAGATTTCCGGTTATGGAGGGCCGAAAACCAAATCGGGAAAGGAGGGGATTGGGGGTGGAGGTGGGTCACGACACCGGCACCTGGGGTTTGGGGTGAAAGAGGCGCACGGTTGGGGCTGGGGAAGGGAGAGGTTGATGCGGTCGACGGTGGCAGGTGGTGGTGGTGATGGTGGGGGGGGTTACGGGGGTCAGGAAGGGGGGATAAGGGTTTGCTGGTTTTTTTTTTATTTTTCTTTTTTTGGACCAATTGCATTTTGACACGTGGCATATAACCTGTAATATCAGGTCATTGACTTTTGTTGACCGGTTTAGGATTGAAGAAAAAGAACTACCCCCAAAGTTCGGATTTTCGGATTATTCCACTATAATTCAAAGTTGGGATTATTCTATGAAAATTGATGAAAGTTGGGATTATTTTTTCTAATTTTTCCAAAAAAAAATGTTTATTACTACGATATCTATTTTAAAAAATATCCCAAATGTGAACTGAGATTAATCATTCTCATCGGCATTGAAATTAAAAAAAAAAAAAAAAAAAGAAAGAAAGAATTTGACTAAATTAACTCTAATGGGATACAATCATACAGGTCATACGTACAACTGTACTATACAAGTATACAGCATTCAATAATCGTTTATGGGCTTATGGCTTCACATGTTATAAAGTGTTTATAAGATGGGTTATCTTGCAAGAGGATCAAGTCCAATAAGGACATACATACGTAGCATTGTGTTAATGAATTTTATTGACAGAAGTTCCTACTTTAAATTTTTTTTTGTGCAACTATTTAGTTCAAAATGGTCATGTCAAATAATGGGCGTACACGGTACATCATGGAATTATATTAAATCAATAATTGCTATGAGTATTATCTTATGCCAAATCTTACCAGCTTGATAAAAGGAGTTTTTTTCTAAGTTAATATTGGCTAATTCATCTCAATTTTATTCACTAGTAGAAAAAAATGCTATTTGTAACGCCCTATTGTAACCAACAATTTTTTATTAGTTACAAGTACTATATTTGTAACCAACATTAGCTAATGTTGGTTACAAATACATCCTATTTGTAACGGACAACATAGTGTTGGTTACAAATACATATTATTTGTAACGGACAACATAATGTTGGTTACAAATACATATTATTTGTAACGGACAACATAATGTTGGTTACAAATATATTCAATTTGTAACGGACAATATATAGTCGGTTACAATTAGGGATGTCAGTGGGGCGGGTCAAGTAGGAGACCCGCCCCATCCCCGCCCCAATGGGGCGGGGATGGGTCTCGGTTTGGCGGGGATGGGGATAAAAACCATACCCGCCATGGGTGATGGGGGCGGGGGTGGATTTTAAGTTGTACCCGCCCCATCCCCACCTCATACCCACATCTATATATTTTTTTTAAAGCAAAATTACATACTTTTATTCTATTTATAAAATAATTACATGAAATACAATATTAATTATAATACTTTGTACGACACTTATATTATAATACAAAAATGTGTATAGAATGTTTATTTTATAATTCGTATTAATTATGTAAGATTGTGTATTTGAGATACGGATATTAGGTGGATCTTGGGTGGGGATTAGGCGGGTCTTTGGTGGGGATGGATATCCAAGTGGGGGTGGGGCGGGGATGGTTTTGGAGTTGTACCCGGTGGGGCGGGGATGGGGATGAAAATTGGACCCGCCGTTGGAGATGGGGATGTGAATGAAAATATTAGGTGGGGATGGGGATGGGAAGGCCAACATCCGCCCCGCCCCACCCCATTAACATCCTTAGTTACAATTAGCTAGGATATTTTTCTATAACCGTCCAAAGCCCATTATTTTTTCCCTAACCCTAAACACGACTATTCTCTCTCCTCCTCCCTTCTATAGCCGCCACCCCCTCTTCTTTGTGATCTCTATTCTCTCTCTTCCTCCCTTCTCATCTTTCTCTTTCCTCTCGATTCTCTCTATCCTCTTCCCCTATTTCACTCTTCCTTCATTCCTTTTTCCTCTTGAATTTCTCTATCCTCCTTACTCTTTCCTCTTTCTCTAAACGAACCGATCTCTTAGCAATTATTCTTCCACGAGAATCTATCCACAAGAATCATCAAGCACAAACCGCGCACCGCCCATGTATTGTTTCATCAACAACGTAACCAAGCTTCACATACTGTCAACCCACGAATATATATCCACCGTCAACGAACAACCGTGCTCACGGCGCTTAACAACCAAGCATCAACCTACAACGCAAGCCTCTATTGTCAACCCAAGGTTTTTTGTTTTTAGATCTATCTTATTTTCATTTAGATTAGACATTAGATCTAGGTTGTTTAGTTTAAATTTCTAATTGTAATTATTACTTTTGTATGAAATTGCAATTTTAATATATAATTTATAGATAATTGTATAATTTTTATTCCTTTCGAATTTTTGGATTTTTATGTATAATTTTGATTAATTATTGAATTTTTTGTTCAATTTTTTAGATAATTGTGTATTAATTACTTAATATTTGTGTATAATTTTAATGTTTTGTTATTGTATGATAGTTTGTTGTTTATGTGTGTTTGATGGTGGCGTTTGGTGTTTATTGGTGGTTTTTGTGGCGGTCATGGGAGGGGATCGGAGAAGGGGTACGATTTGTAGTGGGTGGCTGGTGGTGTGGGTCACGACCTCTCGAGGTTGGGGCCTGGTGATGTGGGATAGTGTCGTGGTTGGGGTAGTGTTGGTGGGTTTGGGTCATGGGCAGGGTATTTTCGGATTTGGGTTCAAGTTCAACTAGGACGTCTTAACCTAGCATTTTTGCTAGGTATTTTTTTTAATTTTCGAAAACAAGCATTTGTAACTAACAATTGATATGTCCGTTACAAATAGGTACATATTTGTAACCAACAATATCCGTTACAAATGATTGGACTATTTGTAACCCCAGTAGTTGTAACCCCCAATGTTGGTTACAAAAAGCCTGTTTTTGTTAGTTACAAATAGCATTTTTTCTACTGGTGATTTTAAA